AGCGGGGCTCACGCTCGTCCGGACGCTGCCCTGCGCACGCTGCTGTCACTTTGCTGTCGCTTGATGGAGGAGGGACCAGGTACCGGCCGAGGAGGGGACCGGTGTCAAACCGATGCTGCCAGGGCCGGGGGGAGACGGCAGGCACCCCCTGAGTGTAATCACACCACTAAGTTTCTTGAATAGAAGCAGATGAATTTCAAAGCCTGATTCTGCGCCTGCTTTGTTCAGGAGGAATATGTCGAGAAGGGTTTGACCACTCTTAGGAGGTTTTTGGAGGGTCCCCAAAGGGGGACCTGGAGTGATGCTGGCGAGGAGGAGAAACCTCCATCGGCACCCACCGTGCCGGATGCAGTGCTCTGAGGGTGTTTGTGCCTTGGGATACGAGCCTGGAGGGGTGACGGGTCTCACAGCCCTGACCTGCCTCCCTCTGTCCCACACAAACAGGGGATTGTGCCCAAGATCCGGGTTAAGCCTGGCTTTGCCGCAGCCTAGCGCCTATTTCCCACAGATTTCCCCCAAAAGCTTGTCCCAGAACCCCACCCCACGGCAAGGTCAGGGCTGTGCCTCTCCGCGCAGGAGCAGGAGGTTGAGGTGCTGCACCAAGAAGGCGTGTGCGAGGTTAAGGCTGGGACGGGACACCCAAGCCTGGCCTCTGCAACCCCACGGTGAGGCACCCAGCAGCACTTTTTCCACTTTCCATGCTCACCCCACAAGCACCCTAAGAGCCCTTGGCACTTCTAAGGCATCAGCCTTGCGAGCCTTCTGCAGTAAAAAAAAAAAAATTGGGGCAGGAATTGCTACCTGGGGCTGCGACCCTCCAAAGCAGGAGGTTACATTTAAACAGGTTGTCCAGTTCCATCTGGACCAGGAGCTCTAATGATTAGAGAAAAAACTAAAAAAAAATTATAAAGTGCTTTTCCTGTGCCTTATCGCATGTGAGGCTGGCTTAAAAATGAGACAGGAGAAAATACTGACATCTATTGTCATTTAAACCCCATTCTATCCTACAAAACCACATTTTAAGGCTAAAGGAAATCAACATAAGTATTTTTTTTAAACACCACAATCTCAGTAACATAGAACTTTTATTAACAGATTTTTAAAGTACAAACCAGAAAGTTTTTAAAGAGCTGATCCAGACTTGAAGCACGACGATGGGACACAAGCAAAGCTGCTTGAAGGGGAAGAAATAGCACGTGTAAAGCCACCGCTGGTGTGAAATTCTCTGGAAATTCGTGCTAGGAGTGGGGTTAATACAGCTCGCAGGAGGGCACAGGCTGCTGATGGCAATAACTAACCCTCACCTCCATCCCTCAACCCCTTCCAGCTTCTACCATGAAGCTGTTTTGTGGCTGTTTTTAGAATATTCCACTTGCTCCCCCCTTTTTGAGGTGTTCCGGCTAAGCGCATGGTGCTGTTCCACAAGGCACTGCCCCCAAATCGCTGAGATCTTGAAGTTTTAATAATTTCTGATTCCAACCACGAGATGTTTCCCGCAACCGGGGAGTTCTGCAGCACCAACTGCAGACATCAGCGCTCCACCAAGCAAGCGGTGTGGTGCTGAGGAAAGATTACCTGTAGCAAGACAGCTGAAAGCCTCGAGGAAACATCGCTCTCGAGATCCAAACAGGGCTGATTGCTCCCTGGGGGGTTACCCGCAGCACTGCTGCAGTCCACAGAAAATACTTGCATTTTGAGATCAGACCCTGCAGGCTGGGGGATTTGGGGAGGTGGGTTACTGAGGAGAGCCAGGGTGGTTTAGGGCGCTCCAGACACACTTTCCTTGGCGCTGCGGAAGGAGCGGAAGGCTTTGTGCAGGGCCACGTGGCGAAACAGGTCCGAGTGCGCTCCTGCCATCTCCGCTAGAGATGCGGGAGCATCCGCTGGGAGACAGAAGCAGTGGGATCAGTGGCGAAAGGAAAATCATATTGCCAGCAGAAAACTATTTGTTTCTCATCCTTCCCTTGTCCCCAGAGAGTTTTTTACTTTCCCTCAACAGTTTTTCTTCTCATAACCCTTCTCTCTCCTCCCTAACCCTTCGCGTCCTGCAGCTCCCCCGTGGGATTTGATGGCTGCAGAAAGCGCAGGAAACCCCCGCTGCTGGGGGCAAGGGCAGTGACGTGGGAGCCTCAGCCTCTCATGAGACACTGAAATCTGTGAAAAAAGGCAGAACTTCACCTGTAAGGGGCTGGCTCTGGCAGGGAAAGGCGAGGGGGAACTGTTGATTCCTCCAGCCTGACGGAAAGCCAAGGAGCTCGCAGCAGCAGGCCTGAGGCCACGGCTGATGGCAGAGAGAAGGGATTAACCCCAGCTGCTCTCTTCAGAGCTCCATCTAGCTGCACGTCCGTCCATGAGTGGGACACGACGTGGCTGGAAACACCAGGAGACAGGCAAACAATTCCTCAGCCCAGTTTGGCATGTGTGGTAACCAGTCAGATAGGCCAGGTGGTGTCAGGGAAGGATTTTCAGAGAGAGATTTTTGTGATGAGAATTTAGATCCTTGTTACGAGGATTTCCCGGACTCCCTGAGCCTGTCCAAGGGGTGACAAACCCCGCTCCTGCCTCTCTTCTCTCTGCCCTTGCCCTGCAGTACGTGCCAGCACACCTCAGTGCAGCAGGGCCTGGCTGCACACCACGAGACATCCCAGCGCCAGCCCTCAATTAATCATTTCTCTAATTGCATCGCGAAAGAGAGGTTCCTGATGCTGAAAAGATCTTATTTGCCTACAACTAGCCCCGACCCTAAGGAAAGATCACGGGTGCCTGGTTTTCAAGGATCAGAAACGAGTCCAAGGCCATAAATTGACTGGAACAAACTCTCACTGCGACGGAGGCTGACAGCTTCCGAGTTTCTGGCTGCGCTTGCTCGCTGGGCTCCCCGACGTGCTCAGGCTGGGCTCTGTCAGTGAGCTCACATCTTTCCCTTCTCAGACCCATCAGATTTCCCTCCCTCCAGCCACCCCGGCTGGCCAGTATTGCAAGAGATTCCTGTGCTCGTGAGTGGAGTTATTTGTGCTCTGGTGCTAGCAATGAGTTCCAACTGCTTCAAGACGCCGCACCGATTGCACACAACCCCTTCTATCCTCTTTCTCCCACAAAAATACACTAGCTTGCTCCCTTCTGTCCCCAAACTCAACTAGAAACAAACCCCATCCCTCTGCAGAACCACAGCACGGTCTGCCCACCCCACAGCCCCAGACAGACCCCCACCCTGTCCACTTACGTGTGCAGGAAATGACGACTTCGGTGGGGAGGATGCTGCAGAGATCTCCGTACAGCAGCCTTGCGTTGAACAGAAAGGTCTTGCTTTGACTTGACACGTTGTAATTAAAGACCAGCAGGTTACACAAGGAGTTCCGCTGCAAGGCTCCTTCGATCTGATCTGAAAAGTGTTCCTGGAGGGATGAAGGGATGAAGGGATGAAGACATGAAGACTTCTCTTCCCCTCGGAAGGGAATCCATCAGGGGAGGATTGGGAGCTCGCTGAGTACAGTGCCCCCACCCTCCGTACCAGCCTGACGTGCCTACGTGCTCTGGGGTGGCTGTACATCCACCAAGCCTTGTGTGGGGAAGATTGAAATAAAGAAATGCTCACAAACACCCTTAAGCCACATCCTCCAGCAGCTTTTTACAAGATCACAGAGATTTCAGCTCGAGGACTTCCGGAGGGGAGGACAGTTTTGCATTTTGCAGTAAATTTGAAATGAACAAGACATCCAAGTACGTGACAATCAATGGAACCAGCAACTGAGTTTATAGTCACACAATAATTTCTGAAGTTCTAAAAACCAGAACTGTGAGCGCTCCATATAAAGAAAACTACCAAAATTCCCCCCAGCACTTCAGAGACTCCTAACACTCGGTACATCAAAGGGAAAAGGAGGAGTGAACAGCTTTGCTGTGGCCACTGGTACCTGTAACTGGTCTGCCTGGTACCTCCTCCCCACGTAAGCGTTCAGGTGGTCAGACAGGACGGACATGAAGCGCCTGATGTCCGTCTGCAAGTACTTCTTGGCAATCTGCTCCAGGGGGATAAAGATGGGGACAGAGTGGCGCTGAATCCGCACTTCGGGCTGGGTGAGCAGGTCCAGGTGGTAGGAATCCAGGTAGGTGCCCTCGTAAGCTGTGCTGATGGAGAAACACACTCCCCGCTTGGTCAGCTTGCTGCTGATCCCTGGGGTGCAGAGAGAGGGTTTATTCAGCGCTGCTCTGACCTCAAAAGTTTGCTGCGAAGTCCCAAACCCACTGGATATTTAACTGCCTAATTCCCAAAGATTTCACTAAGACTAGGGTAGTTACAGGCTTTGCACAATCTAGACCTTGGTCTAAATTATACAGTTGAGGAAACAGTTCCTGCAACATCCCAGAGGCCTCCTGTGAAAGGCAGGGAATGACAAGGGTACTGCTCTTCCAGCACCTCCGGACTCTAAAGGCTCGAAGCACAACAGCAACAAGGAAGTTCCACTTCACACCAGGCTCATTTTCCAAAATTTCGCACTGCAGAAATGCAGCCATTGGCACAATGCACGCAAATCCCGAGACATCGTTACCTGTGAGGTAAAAGATCTGCAGCATGGCTTTAAGGCTTTTTATCTTCCACTCTAAAACAGCCTGAGCATTGGGCTGTGCCGGATCTGAGACGACTCCTTCTTTCCCAAGTTGCTGCAAAAGCCAGAAAAGGAGAAAGGCTGGAAATCGCTGACACAAATCTGTCACCTGCAGAGGACACAGTCGGGCTCTAGAGAAATAATAACCCAGCTCTGAGAAAAGCAAGATGGCATTTCAAGCAGAAGAGGGGAGAAAAACTCAAGAGAAGACTTCAGAAGTGGCCACAGGACCTCCAAGCAAGAAGACCCAGGGGTTTTGGACTACATGGTACTGAAAACAGGGGAAATCAGGACTATATGTCACTTTAAAAGGGAAAATAAAAAAAAATAACAGTTGACTCTCTATGAATAACCTCAGTAAATCCACCCTGTGAGAGCAGGAACACCCCAGAGCCCTCTGCCAGATCTCCACAGCAAGTCTCACCCCCTTTTGCTGCAGGTCCACTTTAGCCCGCAGCTCATCCCTCTGGAGCCTCAGCTCTTGCACCCGCGCTTTCAGCCTGGCCAGCTTCTCTTCTTGCCGCTGCATCTCCTCTTTCTTCACGGCTGCCTCGTGAGCCCGCATCTCCAGCATCTCCAAGTGAGCAAGCAGCCCTGCAAGGAAAAGCACAAAGCGCTCAAAAATCCAGGCTGGGATTATTAGTGCCTGTCCTGGTTTGGGCTGGGACAGAGTGAACTCTCCTCCCAGCAGCTGGTGTGAGGCTGCTGGGGTTTGGGCTGGGGAGAAGCTGATCACACACTGATGGGCAGAGCTGCTGCCAGGACAGTCGAGGACTTTCCAGCTTCTCTGCTGTGCCTGTGAACCTGGGAAGCAGAGTAACCAGCAAATGCACCGCTCCCCATCCCAAGAGACCTCCCACTCCCAGTATCACTTCTAACCCAGCCCACCCAGTGACTTCTCTGAAGCCCCCATACCCTGAATTGGCCACGAGTGACTCAAGGCACAACTGGGCAAGCCAGGGGGTCACCTCTGGCCCCAAGCATTTTAGGGTTCACTCCTGCAGAAAGACACGCTTTATACTTGGATGTCCGGCACCCCAGAGGACTCACCATCAGCTTTCCCTTCCTCCATCTTCCCTCGTCACTCTCCTTCAAGCAAGAAGGCAAACGTCAGCCCTCCCCGGCCAGGCTCTGTCCCTTGGAGGTGGGAGCAGCGAGAGCTTTTCCTCAGGGAACCTTCCTCTTAGTGAACATTCCTCCTCCTCCTGCTGCTGCAATGGGACTGAGAAGCGCTGAGGGCACGTCTAGCACCCGGGCTGGCTCCACACAGGGACAATCCCATGGGCTGATGGCTGAAATGACACGTAATAATGAAATGACACATGATAATGAAATGACACGCAATAGTACCTAAAGAGGGCTACAGGAGAAATCATAGAATCACAGGATGGTTTGG